GTATTTTAAAGGGTAAGCCCTGAAGTGCCAGGCAGGATAATGGGGGGCAAGAGAGGTCAGATCCTGTTGCTTGGGCAGAGCTGGGACGGGTGGTCAATGGGACTTTGGGCAGTCATTGAAAGTTTCTTTTGTTCCAGTCCAGTGCAAGAGCACTTCAAGGACTTCCGAGCACCCCCAATAGGCACAGAAGTGTGAAAGGAAAATATCTTGGGCCCCCAAAATCACTAAAAGGGAAAAAGCAGCTGGGAGCTGCTTAGGGCAAACCTGCCTCCGGTTCTATTCAAAGTTATCCTCTCTCACTGAGATAAATGCATACCTGATTGCTTCTTTTGTAAAAATTAATCAGAAACTCAAAAGAATGCAACCCTTTGTCTCTCACCTATCTGTGACCTGGAAGCCCTCCCACCTTTGAGTCTTCCTGCCTTTCCTTTGAGTTGTCCCCACCTTTCCAGATGGAACCAATGTACTGATTGATGTCTCATGTCTCTCTTATAAAAAATCAAGCTGGGCCCTGACTACCTTGGGCACATGTTGTCAGGACTTCCTGAGGTTGTGTAACAGGTGCATGTCCTCAACCTTGGCAAAAAAAGTTTCTAAATTAACTGAGAAATTTTTTCATTTCATTTTCAGAAAATCTTTCAGATTTTCTGGGTTTAGAGAAGTGTTGCAGAAGAACCACAGAAAATTGTTATAAGTAAAATTTCAATGCCGCAAAAGAAATAGCACTCAAAGATAAATCCTCTCAGCAAATTTACTGCAATAGAAGGGTGCAGCTCACAGATGGAACAATGGCAAGAGCACACCTGGACAAGGAGGGGAAGGGGTACTTAGCCTGATGGGAGTTGCCCCTACTGCTGTTTTGTTCCCCTATTGGCTAGGTTAGGCCACACAAGCTAGACTAGTCCCAATTGGCTATTTTAAAGAGAGCAGGGGTCCAAGCTGGAGTGGCAGGGTGGGTGGTTTGGCAGGAAGGATGGTTACAGGCAGGTCAGAGCAGGTAGCCAGGGGTGACCTGGGTCAAAGAAGGTGACTGGAGCAGGTGACTGAAGCAGGTGACTGGGATGAGTCAGGACAGGGTAGGGGGGCCAGGGGAACAGATGTGAACCACTGATTAGAACTGGTGGAACTACAAGGAAGTTAAACTTTAAAATAGAGACTTAAAGAATAAGAGAGCTAAATATACTGATATACTGATTTTTTGAAAAGGAACTTGGGGTTCACTATATTTAACAAAATGAAGGAGTCATAAAAGTAGAAACAACATATATCTCTTCAATCTGCAAGCACAAGTGGCCAAAGACCTGATGGGACCCTGGATATCTCAGAGGATGGCAACATAGACAGAGAATATGGAGGATTAAAAGGCTGCTCCTCCCAATTACCCTGATACTACATAAGCTTCTTGTAACTTGCTGAGCGTGGAGGGGAGGTACTCAGAGATTAAAGCTGACTAAAATAGTTTTCTACCACCCCAAAGAATAAAAGTTTGAAATAAAAATAAAGCTGTAAAAAAATATTATTTTCTTATGTCAGACCACATAGACTTTAAGTCAAAAACCGTCAAAAGAGATAAGATCATTATATAGGGACAAAGGGGTCAATTCATCAAGAGAATTTATTGTAAATACATATGTACCCAACATAGTAGCACCAAAAATAATGCAGATTAATAGATCTGAAAGGAGAGACAGAACATGACACAATAATGGTAGAGCAGTTTAATATCCTACTTTCAACATCACATAAATCATGACATAAAATAAATAAGGAAACATTGAACTTGAAGTACGTGTTAGATTAAATGAACCTAACAGACATGTAGAGCATTCTATCCAACAACAGCAGAATACACATTCTTCTGAAGTGCACACAGAACATTCTCCATAACAGGTGATTTATTAAGCCACAAAAAAAGTGTTACCAAATCTGAAATCATATCAAGCATTATTTCTTACCACAACGATGTGAAACTACAAATCAATAACAGGAGGAAAACTGGAAAATTCACAAATACATGGAAAGTAAGCAACATGCACCTGAACAACTCATGGTCAAAAAAGACATCAAAAGGGAAATTTAAAAATATTGAGACAAATGAAAATGAAAACACAACTTACCAAAACTTAGGGAATGCCACGAAAGCAGTTCGAAAAGGGAAGTTTAAATGCCTATAATAGAAAAGAAAAACAAAATTCAAATAAATAATTAACATTACATCTCAAGAAACTAGAAAAAGTCAACACAAGCAAGAAAATACATAGATTAGAGTAGAGATAAACAAAATAAAGACTAGAAAAACAAAAAGATGATAAAAATAAGAGTTGGTTTTCTGAAAAGCTCAACAAAATTGACAAACCTTTAGCTGCACAAAGGAAAAAAAGGAAGACTAATAAATAAAATTGGATATGAAAGAAGAGACATTGCAATGATACCACAGAAATCCAAAAGATCATAAGAAATACTATGAAAAAATGATACACCAACATATCCCAGAATAAATGAATACACTCCTAGAAACAGAGAACCTTCCAATATTGAATTATGAAGCTGGAGAAAATCTGAACAGACCAACAGTGGGTAAGGAGGTCAAGTCAGTAATCAAAAACCTCCCATAAAATAAAAGTCCAGGACCTGATAACTTCACTATTGAATTCCACCAAACATTTAAAGAATAACTAATAGTAATTCTTGTCAAACTCTTCCAAAAAACTGAAGAGGAGGGAATACTTCTGAACTCATTTCATAAGGTCAGCATAACCCAGACAAAATCAGGCAAGAACACTATAAGGAAAGAAAACTTCAGGTCAATACCCCTGATGAACATAGAGGCAAAAAATCCTCAAGAAAGCACCAGCAAATCAAATTCAACAACACATAAAAAGGATAATTCACTATGATCAAGCAGAATTTATCCCTAGGATACAAGGATGGTTCAACAAATGCAAATCAATAAATGTGATACACCGTATTCCATAGAATGAAAGACAAAAACCGCATAATCATTCCAATAGATGCAGTAAAAGCATTTGACAAAATTCAACATCCTTTTATAATAAAAACTCAATGAATTTGGTTTAGAAGAAACCTCAAAACAATAAAGGCCATATATAAAAAGCTAACATAATACTCAGCAGTAAAGAGTTGAAAGCTTTTCCTCTAAGATCAAGATAAGGATCCCCACTCTCACCACTTTTTTTGTTTTTTGTTTTAAAAAATAGAAATTTATTTCTTACAGTTCTAGAGGCTGGAAGTTCATGATCAAGGTGCCAGCAAGATAAGGTCTCATTCTGAGGTCTCTTCTCTTGGCGTGCAGGTGGCAATCATCTCACTGTGTGTTTGAATGACCTCTTTGTTGTGCCCTCCCCACTTCTATTCAACATAGTAAAGTCTTCCCTCCATATTCATGGGTTCTGTATCCACGGAATCAGAGGGCCAATTGTACACATTTTCAATCCACTGCTGGTGGATGTGGAACCCCCAGTTATGAAGATCAACTGTACTACACCATTAAACATTCTAACTTTTAAAACTTTTTTATTTTTATTTTTTTTTTTGAGACATGATCTTGTTTTGTCACCCAGGCTAGAGTGCAGTGGCATGTCATGACTCACTGCAACCTGGCTCTCTTGAGCTAAGGCAATTCTCCCACCATAGCCTCTCAAGTAGCTGGGACTACAGGTATATGCCACAATGCCTAGCTAATTTTTTATTTTTGTAGTGGCGGGTGTCTTACTGTGTTGCCCAGGCTGGTCTGAAACTCCTGGGCTCAGGTGATCCTCCCACCTTGACCTCCCGAAGAGCTCAGATTGTACGCATGAGACACTGTGCCTGGCCTGGACTAGAGGAATCTCAGATTTTGGTATAGGGTCTGTACTGGAGGATCTAGCCACAGCAATTATGCAAAAAAGAAATAAAAAGGCATTCAAATCAGAAAGGAAGATGTTAAGTGTCTGCTTGCAGCCAACAGGGTTTTACAACTAGAAAACCTTAATGAGTGCTGGGTGTGATGGCTCACGCCGTAATCCCAGTGCTTTGGGAGGCCGAGGTAAGGGGATCACGTGAGCCCAGGAGTTTAAGACCAGCATGGGCAACAAAGTGAGACCCCATCTCTACAATAAAAATCAAAAAATTAGCCAGGCATGGTGGCACACACCTGTGGTTCCAGCTACACAGGAGGCCAACGCAGGAGGATGGCTTGAGCCCGGGAGGTCAAGGCTGCAGTAAGTCATGATCATGTCACTGCACTCTAGCCTGGGTGACAGAGCAAGACCTTGTCTCAAAAAAAGAAAAAAATGAAACTAGAACAAAGCAGGCAGAAGGAAAGATAAGCAGCTTGCTGAGTCTGTTCACTCTTTCTTCTCTTACAGGATGCTTGCTCCATCTACTCCTGTCCTTGAATGTCAGATTCCAGGCTCTTTGGCCTTTGGACTCTGGGAACTTACACCAGTGGCCTCTCAGAGGCCCTCAGGTCTTTGGCCTCAGACTGAGGGCTGCACTGTTGGCTTCCCGGGTTTTGAGGCTTTTGAACTTGGACTAAGCCACACTACTAGCTTCTCTCTCTTTCTTCAGCTTGCAGATGGCGTCTTGTGAGATGTTGCTTTGTAATTGTGTGAGCCAATTCTCCCTAACAGGCTGTCTTTTATATATACATCTATCCTATTGGTTCTGTCCCTCTGGAGGACTCTAACACAGACTTGTGAGTTTGTCAAGTGAGATCTGAAACCATTTACTTTAGGTATGGGATTCAGTCAGTACGATTTTTCTTTTATATCCTTATGTCAGTGGTTCTTAGGCCTGGTTGAAAATCAGAATCACCCAAAGAGAGATTTGGATTCAGCTGAGGTTTGGAAAAATTCTGATGGGCAAGGTTTGAGAATTTTTTCTTAATGCTTCATAAATCATTCTCAGACATGACGACATCCATGACAACATGAGCAACAGGCATAAAATACGTGACAAAGGATTCAGTAAGAGAAGGTCACTAGGGAAAGATAAGGCATCTGGGTCAAGAAGGGCAGGAATAGGAGGTGCAATCAATGCTGGAAAATATTTATCTGGGATTTCAAAAGAACTCACGAGAGATGTGAAATATGGGGACAGATCTTTGAATCAGCACATATATCCAAGTTGTAAACTAACCTCTTATATCAGGGATGACTGCTTGAAGTTCCTAAGTATCTGTGAAAGAGAAAATCATTACTATATCCTAGGTCTCAGTAAATCACAGAAAATTAGACTATAAGCCTTGTAATTTCAGCAAACAAAACCAATGGAGAAATGTCTAAGACACTAAACACCTAGCTTTCTATTTTTCAGTGGAAATGTTACAGAATCAGGGAAGGTGCTTTCATCTGCAAGTAACAGAAAACTCAAAATGGCTTAACCAATAAGGGGATATGTTTTCTCATAGTACAAGAAGTCCAAAGGTAGGGCAGTTCTTCTGAGTTGGCAAATTCTCTTTTGTCATTTTTATGGAAAAAGATAGCAGCAACCATTCCAAATAGCACATTCTCATATACCTTTATTTAGAGCAGCAAAAGAGAATTTTTTCGTATGTCTCTTTTTAGATGCTTCAAAATCCTTCTCAATGCTCCTCCAGAGGCCCTTAAATACCCCTTCCAAAAACTGCATCACATGCCAACATTTAAACCAAGCATTGAAAAAAAAAAAAAACTGGGATTTGGCCGGGCACGGTGACTCACGACTGTAATCCCAGCACTTTAGGAGGCCAAGGCAGGCAGATCACAAGGTCAAGAGATCGAGACCATCCCAACCAACATGGTGAAACCCCATCTCTACTAAAAATACAAAAATTAGCTAGGCACGGTGACGTGTGCCTGTAGTTCTAGCTACTCAGGAGGCTGAGGCAGGAGAATCATCTGAACCTGGGAGGCGGAGGCTGCAGTGAGCTGAGATTGCACCACTGCACTCCAGCCTGGTGACAGAGTAAGACTCTGTTTCAAAAAAAAAAAAAAAAAAGAAAAAGAAAACCCTGAGACTGTAGTGATTTCTTCGTTCATCTATGTTGCATTTACTCTCCCATTCCATTCATAAGTCACATGGGGAAGCACATGACTTCAGGGAGAAAGGAGTATCCCAAAATAAGGAAGAAGAGTGGTTAGCACACATACAAGGAAGGTTGAGAGACAATGTTGGCTGTAGCTGTAACACAGAGATTACTGTGCAGAGCCATTTCAAATATAAACTGAAGTGGACAGCCTGAGCCTCTCCAGGTGATCTCTACCTTTCCTGCGCATAGGTGCTCAGGATAAACTAATCTTGATTTTTGTTTAAACAAGGCATGATTAATAAGTGAATATGTTAAGTATGCCTGATAAGTTAAACATACTTTGCAACACCATCTAAGACTTGATAGTGACTTATATATCTGTTATTTAGAATTATCTCATGCCATTGTCTCTTTGATACAGATAACACATTGTAAACCTACAAACGCAGGGGGCATAGGGTTGGGCTACTACTCATAATTGCTGTTATATCATTTCCATGAACTCATGTTGTTCTGATGGATATACAACATATTTAAATAAAATAGATGTTTCCCATCCCCCAATAACAATGACATAATAGAACATATTACCACTTTTTCTATATGAATTATCTCATGCCTGTCTTTCAATCAGGTTTAAGAGTAATAATTTCCATGTCAAATAGAACCTCCAAACAAATATCTTTACCATTCTTTCCACTCTCTACTACTCCATTATTTCATCTCAATTTTTACTTCCTCATTTTCCCTTCATAAAGGGATTTATTAAGAATTAGATGCCTTTAGAAAAGATAACATATGCACATGACCCACCAGACTAATTCAGACTGCATTTCTGTTTGGCACAAGCTCTTCAGTATAATCAAGATTCTTGAGTTTGAGTAGACGCAAACAAACTAGATGTTCACTTAACAACCTCAACATGTTAATATGACAACTTGTAAGAAATGAAGGAGTCATAGAAGCCAATGATATAGCAACAGGCCCCACTAGGAAATAAAATTCATGTAAAAACTTTAGCACGAGGGCTAAACATTGTGCTACTTATTGCACTTATTTTTACTGTTATCGATAACAGAGGGTCTCTCAATCTAAGCAAAGTAATCAGTATCCTTCCAAAGCCTCTGGTCCTGACTCAGAATTCTATAACTGGAGAAACAGGGCAAACTTAGAAAAGAGTCAGAGAATCTTTAGGGGAAATAAAGGATTCACTGAAGTCGCCATCAAGTGTAAGCTCAGTGCGAGGCAGTGGGGAATAGGAGGATAAAGACAAGGGTCCTGCTCTCAGGCAGCCTCAACATGTGCAAAGAGTCTAGACTCTGGGATGAATAAATGTGAGTAAAGCAAAGCATCCTAAAAACCGTAAAGATGATAGTGACTACTGGAACACACTGGAGGAATTTCTCTATCAGAAGAAGTGATAAGTACCCCAAAGGCAGTTTAATTCCTGTTTGTAATCTAAGTCCTAGGACTTGAAGAGTCCTAGTCTTGAATAGCACAGGTGCTTAACAAATATATGCTGAATGAAATTAAAAATGTTGTAAACTCACAAAAATAAGGGAAGGTAAGAGGGACAGACCAAATGTTCCATTTCTTAGATCTTCCTCCCCACTTTTTTGAAACAAATACAAAATACTCCTCTCCCTCATACTCTCTTCAAACACAAAGTAACTTTTGAGCATCTATTATTGTGCAAGAAAGTGCTAAGCAGGACATATTATTTTAAAAATATAGCTCCTAAATTCAAACAACCAAACCTGGTAGGTAAAGGTACCTACTCAGATTTCTACCATGCAAAGCAGAATGCAGGGGCATTCAAACAGTTCACAGAGACTGCAAAAGTCTTTAGGAATGAAAAGTCATATCTGTTTATCCACATGTGACCTAGAAGAAAGGCATAATGGAGGAGAGGATACAGGAGCTGAGCCTTGAGAATAAAATTTCAATAGGGCAAAAATGTGCACAGCCAGGAGAAAGGAGAGGCCTGCATTGGAAGTAGAGAAAATTCATTTGATTATTCAACCAATATTCTGAAGTATCTGTTATATGCCAAACACTTTTTTAGGTGATGATACAATAGGAAACAAAACAAAAATCCTGGCTTCATGAAATTATAAAAAGTTGCAGATATGTTTCCAAAATGTTTGTTACAACAACTTGGTAATGTACAGGATGGAAACAATAGGAAGATCAAGACAGGAAAAGTAGATACAGCTGTGGCACCTGATTGTGGAGGAACCAAAGGCCAGCCAGGCTAAACAATTCTTTTAGAGTTAGTTCTGTTGACTGTGAGGAGTCATTACAGGATTCTCAACTGAGAAATGTCTTAATCAAAGTGGTGCTTTGCAAAGATTGACTGGGTGGTGGAGTCCAGGGCTGGGTAACTAAGGGTGTGGTTTAAAAGCAGGGGAGCAATTACACAGTATTGCATCCTACTGGGAAGGATCCAGCATAAGCCAGTATTGCATCCTACTGGGAAGGATCTGGCATAAGTATCACTTCCTCTGAGATGTCATTCTTGATTCAGCCAGTCAGGGCTAGGTGTGCCACTAAGGTGTCCTCAAAAGAATCTCTCATCTATGAGAGCACTTCCTGTATATGGTATAGCAAATGTCTGTTTATTAATTCTTATCTTTTCTATTCATTAAGAGGAAAGAGACTGAGTCTCATCACTTCTGTATTCCCAGGGCCGAGACCAATGCTTAGCATGTAGCAGAAAATATGTGTGGTATGAGTAAATAACCAAGTGTGATGGATTGAATTGTGTCTTCCCAACATTTATATGTTGAAGTTCTAACCTCCAGTTCTTCAGGATGTGACCTTATTTGGAGAAAGAGTCTTTCCAGAAGTAATCAAGTTATAATGAGGTCATTAGGGTGGTCCCTAACCCACAATGACTGGGGTCCTTATAAAAAGGGGAAGTTTGGACACAGACATGCACACAGGAAGAACACCCACCTATAAGCCAAGGGGAGACACCTGGAACAGATCCTTTCCCCATAGCCCTCAGAGAGAATCAACCCTACCAGCACTTGGATTTCAGATTTCTCATCTTCAGAACTATGAGGTAATAAATATCTGTTGCTTAAACTACCCAGTTTATGGCACTTTATTACAGCAGTCCTAGCAAACTAATACACCAAGTGAAGATGTTCACTCAACTTGAAGCAAAATCCAGAATCAGAGCCCAGGGTTAAGACCAGGGTTACCTATAAAGAGAGACAATCATTAACATGGGAGCAGACTAAATTTCTGTGAGAACTTGTATAGGAGGAGACATGGCAAAGGGCAGCACTCAGGGGGCACCCATGTTTAGGAATCAGGAAGAGCAGCTGAGACAGACTTAAAGAAGCAACAGCCAGAAAGGTGCAGAAGGAAGCTGCCTGGTAGGAGCTTCAAATATTGGGGGGAAAAATATGTTTAACAAAAGTAACAGAAATTTGTTGTCTCACAGTTCCAGATGCCAATGCCAGAAGTCTAAAATCAAGGTATTGGTAAGGTTGGTTCCTTCTGAAGGCTGAAGGATCTGTTTATGGTCTCTCTCCTTGGCTTATGAACCGCCATCTTTATGTTCACAGGAAGGCAGCCCCTCAGGGAACACTCATGTTGAGGAAATAGAAAGAGAATCCAGTGACAAACATAAAGAAGCAAGTCAGAAAGCTGTAGAAGGAAGCTTCTACTCTGGTATTGGTAGTGGTTGCAAATACAGAAAAAAGAAAAATAAACGGTCAAAAGAAAAACTGCCCACAAAATTTCACAGAAGCAACCAAATAAGGAAGGGCTACATACAAATGTTCTAAATTGCAGAATGCTGTGGCCCAGAAAAGGGTTGGGAGCAGAGTGGCATCTAAAATATGGCAGGGTTCCTAACCCCACATGGCCTCTTCCTCCAGCTGCGCTGGGGATGCAAAAGAGCCTGAGAATCCTCACAAGTATCCCCACATCTAGGAGAAGCAAATAGACTAACAATCCTAATTTTTTTCTCTAGGTGGTGAATAGAACAAAAGGATAGACTCTGATGATGGAAATTCCATACACCAGTAAACAGATACAAATGCCTTAATGGGAATGAGATGCAATCTATGAGGTGGAATGAATCTTGGTATGAATATTGAACATTACTTTAAACGTGAAAATACAACTCAGGTATAACCTGCTTTAGCTGAAT